CGGCAGCAGCAGCAGCAGCAGCAGCAGCAGCAGCAGCAGCAGCAGCAACAACAACAGCAACAGCAGCAGCAGCAGCAGCAGCAACAGCAACAGCAGCAGCAACAGCAGCAGCAGCAGCAGTCTTCCTCGGACTACCTCATGGTCGGCAACTCGCCAGCCTCGTCGCCCAGATACCTATCCGCGGCGGCGTCGAGTAGTACCAGCACGAGTCCAAGGCCGACCTCGAGCACCGCCGCGACGCTGATGCTGTCCGGTTGCCCGAGCAACATGATGGAGCTGCAGGTGGACATAGCCGACAGCCAGCAGCCGCTGAACCTTTCGAAGAAGTCGCCGTCCCCGTCGCCGAGGCCTCTCGTCGGACCCTGCAAAGCGTTGTCTCTCGAGGCGTAGTGGCCTCGCGTCGACTACCACCATCAGGAACGATGAGAAGAAGATCGAACGGGAAACGTCGCGCGGATAATCGTGACTTCGCGGCACCGGTCGCTTCCACGTGGCGCGCGCGCGGTCGAGCCTCTTTTGTTCCGTCGGAGTTTCGATCCGTGGCGTCGCTTCGCCCCCTCGAGGAGGCGGGGAGGAAAAAAGAGGACGCGAGAAATGAGAAAAGTATGAAAGTGCCAGGACGCTCCGAGCGCGTGATAAACCAAATAATTTATTAATTTAAACTATTAATCGATATGCAAAAAAACAAACGTTGCGCGACGAGACGGTCGGGAGGGGATCACACGCCGCGGGGAGAGACCTCCCGCGGCACTGCTCACCCCCCGCCCACGGAGCCTCCTTTCGCCGTAGACGCGCACCCTCCGAGGTTGTCCGGTGCACGTCCATCATGGATTCTTCTGAATCTTGGTTCTTGAACCGGGAAATTGTGTGGTGAACAGAAAGACACGGAAGGGACACGAAAGAAACGCGGACGCTTGGACGAACAGTGACGTTCCGGGTACAAACAGTGCCGTGTATAGGATTCGAGGGAAGCTATCCCTGTCCGTTTTATCCGTCTTATCGCCCACAATCAGCCGCATCGGGACAGTCCCATCCGGCACATTCGCGTCCCAAAACACGCGGACAGCCGTGCTCCACGGTTGACCCGGGCCCGGCGACGAAGGAGGGTGAACGAACGAGAAGAAGAGCATTGAATGTTTAAACGGAAATTAATAATCTATCTACATGTGATAATCATGGAAATCGCGCATCCTGTACAGTCTCCACCTCATTTCATCGATCATCTTACTCTACTATAATTATTGAATATTATTAAAGTAATTAATTATTATTGTAATATGTGTAAGGTATAATAATCATAAAAAAGTTATCATCTTGTGTATGTGCGAGCGTAGGGAAGAGAAAGAAAGAAAGAAAGAAAGAAAGAAAGAAAGAAAGAAAGAAAGAGAGAAAGATAGAAAGAAAGAGGAAGAAGAAGAGGACGAAGAAGAATCAGAAGAATAATAGAGGAAGCACGAGTGTGTGCGTGTGTATGAGGAACGCGAGAGAATGGGAGGGAGAGAACAAATTTTGCGAAGCGAGTGAATGGAATTTAAGAAAAACCGACCAGGAAACAAGAGAACGAATGGGTTCGAACGTGAGAGCGCAGCGTGCTTGTGCAAGTGAATCGGGGCAAAATTGCAAAAAAATATATATATATATATACATATATGTAACGACAAACAAGCAAACATACAAACAAAAACGAAACAACGGAATACGAAAAGAAACGAATGGAAAATGATACAGGCTTTTCAGTCGAAATGAAAAACCCAGACCCCTGAAGAACCGTTCCCGACGAGGAGAAAGGAGCGTGTCGGAAGAACGAACGGCGATCGCGAGAACGTCTCGCGGATCGAGTATAATTACATTTCAGAAAACGAGTTTCAAGCGTAGCTTTGTTTCACGATGAGACTGACTCCGGCCCGCCGCGGCCCCCGAGAGTTTGCGATCGAACGGTACCTTCGCGCGAATGATTCCTGCCGGTCTGTATACCGGCCTGTACACCGGGCCGAGCGGCAAGAATTAATCGTGCGTTGTAAACACGCGTGTCGTGCCTCTCGTCTCTGGGCGATCGGGAGAATCAACACGATCTCCGTTCGCATTTTCGGATACGTACGAACAGCGTGAAGAT